ACAATCATTTTTTGTCAGAGTTTATCACTTCATTTTTATTGGCACTTCACCTCAATGCAGCAATGTGGTAAATCATGGTAAATCACGATAGAAACATGGTAAATCATAGTAAAAAATACTATTACATGGTGGATCATGGCAAATCATGCTAGCAATGTGATGAATCATGGTAAATCATGCTACAATCCTGGTAAATCATTCTAGAATGTGGTATATAATGGTAAATCATCCTATAACATGGGAAATTATGGTAAACTATGTTAAATCATGCTAGATTCATGGTAAATCATACTGGAACATGGTAGATCATGAAAAATCACACTAAATTTGGTATATCATGGTGAATCATGCTAAAACATGGTCTATTCCATCTATGATGTCAATGGTTAAATGCTTGCTACATAAAACTTAATGTCTTTTGATGCTTTTGTGCTTAACGGCCTTAAAGGCCTTAACTGCTTGAACACCGCTAAATGCTGCTTGCAGCTTTAATTATTATTATTATTATTATTATTCTGCCGTAAAACGCATCGTGCAGACCAAACCGTAAGAGCTAGAGACTTGATATTTGGGATTAAGGTAGCACAGAAATCGAGGAGAGGTTGAGAGAGTATGACCCCGATTGGCCCATAGGTGGCGCTACAGCAACCAATTGCGCGAAACTGCTCATAACTCCTAGACCGTAAGTCGTAGACTCAAGTGTCTTATATCAGTGGAAAGCTGGTCACCTGACGAAAAAAACGTATATCTCCGATTTCATTTCCGCCATGATAGATTTTCCGCCATTTTGAATTTTGTCAAAAAACTACTTTTGCAAACTAGTCCCTGGTTTTTCGCCCGATCGGAACCAAACCAGTGCAGAAATGTTCTCTGGAGTCTGACTATCAATAATTATCAAAAAAAAGTTGAAATTTCGATTTCTGGTTGCTAGGGGGCGCAAAATGAACGTTGTGGGAGGAGCCTATTTTACTAAAATGGCTATAACTCGAGAAGTAAATGAGATATCTTCACCAAACTTGGTCCACATATTTATGAGTTCAATCTGAGGTCACAGTAAAAAAACCGCGCCGATCTAACACTAGGTGGCGCTATAACATTAAAAAAACATAAAAGGGGGTGTGGCCACCTGACCGTTAGTCCGATTGACTTGAAAATTGGTATGCAGTGTCTTGGTCCAAGGTGCCATGTATGTGTAAAAGGATATTGGCGTATCTCAAAAAACATGGCCGCCATCGGCCAATGAAATTTGAGCACCTGTGAGACGAGGTTAACGGAGGCCGATCGGAACGAAACTCAATGGGCATGTTCGACTCATGGCCCAAGAGGTCTGTAAGAGTTTTGAAAGAAATCGGCCACTAGTTAGCGCTAACGAGTTTTATGGCTCTGTAATCACGTGGTGTTGCACACATCCCCCCAAAATGCATATCAATTGATAGATCTCCTCATGCTGAACAACTTTGCCTCTAGAACCATTGCTGTCAATCAAATCGTTCTTTAAATATTCACGAATATGTTAAAAACCTACTTTTGCGAACTAGTCCCTGGTTTTTCGCCCGATCAAAACCAGACCAGTCTAGGACAATTCTCTGGACTCTCTAGATGAATAATTATTGAAAAAAAGTTGAACTTTTGCATTTTTCGTATGGCTATAATAGGGTCATTAAGAAAAGGTGCTTAGCAAAATACACTCAAAAGCCTATAAATCATAAATAAAAAGTCAGAACTTCACAAAAATTGGTGTGTATATGTGTCATAACATGCTGAAGAAGCATGCACAGTTTCATGGAGATCGGACCATAGGTGGCGCTTTAACTGTTAAAAAGCTTTAAAACCATGTATTTCTTATGGTAAATTGCCTGTATTGGCTGTAAATGGTGTTTTCCATCTATTATCATATAATCTTTAAATTATAATGTTCAAAACCAGTGCAGTACAATTCTCTGGACTCTCTAGATCAATAATTATCAAAAAAAAGTTTAACTTTGCCATTTGGTTCATTATAACAGGATCATTTATAAAAAGGGGCGTGTCAAAACACACTCAAAAGCCTATAAATCATAAATAAAAACTCAGAGCTTCACAAAAATTGGTGAGCATATGTGCCATAACATCATGAACATGCATGCAAAGTTTTATGGAGATCGGACAATAGGTGGCGCTATAACTGTTGAAAAGCTTTAAAACCATGTATTTCCTATGGTAAATTGCCTGTATTGGCTGTAAATGGTGTGTTCCATCTATGATCATATAATATGTTCAAAATCAGTGCAGTACAATTCTCTGGACTATATTTAGAGTTTATAAAATCACTATTTTAACATTTACACTCACATTTAGTCAAAATTCATCTATTGAAGCATTGTGTCACAGACAAATGTTAATCCTGAATGAGACACAGTTCAGATCACTTTATCTACAACAGAATGTGTGTGTAGTCCCATGTTTCTGAATAAATCCTGAATAATCTGATTAATAGCTTGCAAAGACATATATTTTAATGGTCTATAAGCATTTCATATATTTTCATAATGACTTGTGTGTGTGTCTAGATATGAATGCAAAAAGACTTTATTAATAAGTAGAGTGGCCAGCAGAGGGCAGTAGAAGACCACTTATTGGCTCACTTTCATTTTAACAGCCTTGAGTTTCAACAAAATTCTGAACTAAAGCAAACCAGTTTTTCCATGTTAACTGCATTATCCATGCTTACTATAAAATCCATTATATAACAATTACTATTATAACACAATCATATTTTGTCAGAGTGTAACACTTTATTTGTACTGACACATGCTAGATGCATGGTAAACAATGGTAAATCATGCTAGATTCATGGTAAATCATACTAGAACATGGTAAATCATGGTAAAACTATGGTAAATCATGCTAGATTCATGGTAAATCATACCAGAGCGTGGTAAATCATGGTAAACGATGGTAAATTATGCTACAACAGGGTAAATCATGTAAAGCATACTAGAACATTGTGAATCACGCTAGATTCATGGTAAATCATACTAGAACATGGTAAATCATGGCAAAACTATGGTGAATCATGCTAGATTCATGGTAAATCATACTAGAACATGGTTAATCATGGTAAAACTATGGTAAATCATGCTAGTATCATGTTAAATCATGGTAAACGGTTTTCCATCTATTATGTCAGTGGTTACATGCTTGCTAAATGTCTTTAATGCTTATGTGCTAAAAGGCTTAACTGCTTGAACACCGCTAAAATGCTGCTTGCAGCTTTAATTTTAAACTATTGCAGGGCTCGAATTTCGGCGCAGGTATTGCGCATAATTCTAATCATTCCCGCAGGTCTCCCATTTATAATGCGGGAAATTCCCGCAATCGTAATCCACACAGATTATAAAATCAAATCATTCTTTTAACAACTATCTGCCAGACGCAATTTCACAAACAGCGTGAGTGTTCAGCGGTGCCGCTTCTTTCTCGTCTCTCATAATGTGTTGTGCAAGGCAAGCATCAAGCGCTGCGGCGATAAAACACACTCGCGTTTAGGAGTCGGGACATGATGGATATTCACTCGCACAATCGGGCCAGCAGTGCATCGTGACTGAAGTTTACCATTTGCACGTCTTTTTAAGTCTTACCAGTTTAAACATTCAAGCGATTTTAAACTAATCAGTGCTCGCGCGCTCTCTGAGAAATTATTTTCTATGCGCACATTCATAGAAAATCCGCCTTAAGAACAGCTGGCCAGTAACAAAAGTTATTTTTCGCGGATTATATTGCTTTAACACGCTAAATTGTCAATTTCGGTCGTCGTGAGTATACTCTAAACATAGTCGGTTTTGTCTTTAATAAGCATAAAACGCATGCCAGTATAATGAACACAGGATCCGTGCACTACCTCTTAAAGTGACGGCAGCCATATGTGTGTCATTCATTTTGTTGTCAATACAACAAAAGATAGCTTTAAGTTAAAGGAATCAGGATTAATAACCTATGCATTTAATTTATTCAGGACTAAAATACTACTCAGTGTTATTTTCCATTTGATTACTTTATTCAGTTTCTGTATATGAATCACGTGATTAATAATGATGACGAAATTCAGGCCCTGTGTTTAATTTTTCTCATTTGGTTACATTCTGTTATGGAAAATTAATTTTCTATTGATTGTAGGCCTATATTTTGAGTTGTATTCACATCCATTTTCCTGTAAAGATATCGAGATATATATCGAATATCGAGATATAGCAAAATATATCGAGATATATTTTTTGCTCCATATCGCCCAGCCCTACTTTCACTGTATGGAAAACAGCAGCTTAGACTAGTGTTATTTTAGTACATTTTATATTTTCATTTTTAGTCATTTGTCATTTTTATTAGTTTTGCACTTTACAATAAGATTCCAGTTGTTTACATTAGTTAACAGTAAAAATGCTTCTAAACTAAGCATTTATTATCAGTCACTATTACTAATCAGCATTTACTAATACATTATTAAGATTAAAAGTTATGTCTATTAATATTATTTAATGGGCCTGTTTGAGCTAACATGAAGTAACTGTGAAGTTATTTTTAACTATCATTTACAAATATAAGTAAATACTTGACATATATATATATTTTTTATTAGTTTTTTTTTTTTTTTGCTTTTATATTTGTTTTAGTCATTTTAGTACTTCATCTTAAACCTGAAGGAAAAATGTTGCCTTGGCTGCTAACTGAAACGAGTTAGTTTTTCTAATATTTATGTTATTTTAGCTTTATTTCAATTACCGAAAACGATTTGTAATAGTTTTAGGCTTAACTATAACAACACTGGCTTATAATTTCCACGGACCAAAGAAAGTCGTACATCTGTTTTTGTTTTGTTTTTTGAGATTATTTCTTTACTCCACCATCCACCATTGGACCATGGAAATATGTTATGTAGAGAAGACAATGATTTCATATATGGTGTTTTTGTATATATTGACACAGATTTAGTATTAAAATCCTGTTATGTTTTTTCCCTACAGAGATGGGGTCCCACCTTATAGGTATCGTAAACCGCATCGACGTGAGATACACGAAAGTGCCAAAGTTAATGGGCGAGTGCCACTACCTCATATTCCTGTAAGTATGCTTTGGATTTCCAGAACACCTTGTTGACTTTACACCACTTTTTGTGTGTGTGCTCTCTACCTTTTTATTCCATTTCTCTCTCTCTCTTTCTCTTTCACCCCCACTCCTTTTTATTTTATTCTCTGTGCCTTGTCTCCGTCCATCATCTTCTGGTCTTTCCCTGTCATTCTTACTCTCTCTTTTCTTCCCCCTGCCTTGTCTCTCCCATCGCCCCTAAAATGAATGTGCATTCTTAAGATGCACAGCGGTGGCTGGGGAGCTTTGATCATGTGCCGGTGAATAGCTGATGGAGAGTGAGAGAGCGCGAGTGTGCTGTCTAAAGCGTTCCTGATGCTCTCGTCAGCTCTGCCTGCTCTGCCCCAGCAGATGTGAAGCCTCATCCTCTGATGGCTCGGCTTTCCCACTGTACCGGCTCCAGCATAATTGGAGCCTCTGAGATAGAGCCCAATTTAACAGAGCAAACATACACTTCCCCTCACTGGGGCCTTTCACTCATCCTATAGAGACTGAAAGCTGTGGAGGCAACGAAGACACTTCAGCTCGTACGTGCATGACGTACTGGAAGCTCTTGACTAATTTTTCTGCATGCGCACCACCAATATCTATCAAAACTACAATCAAAACAGGTGTACAAACTTTCTTAAAGAGAGAGTTCATCTGAAAATGTCAGTTCTGTCACTGTTTATTCACCCTCATGTAGTTGCAAACCTGTATGACTGACTTGCTTTATTTAATTGAACAAAATGTTCAAGTTTAGAAGGACATTCATGTGACTCAATAACAGTAGTATTTGTAAAATTACAGTGGGTTTGCTCCTCTGCCATTGACCCTCTCTGTGAGGAACGCTGCCAGTGCCGGCAACAAGCGGAGTGAAACAAATTGTGAAACATTTCCGTGTGATATTAGTAGAATATCGCATGGCTGGAAAAGGCTCTCAGCCAATCAGATTCGAGAGCCGGAACTAGCAGTATATTTTAAAGATGTGCCCGAAGCGAATCCCATGTTTGGAAAGGAAATGACGCATTGTACAGAGCCCTTAAAGGGACATGGTGATTATAATATTTCAATGCTTTTGCTTTCTCTCCCAATTACATAGTTGGGTAATTTTATTGTATATAACTTGCGGGCATCAGTGAGCCGCTATTAATATGCAGGGTATTGGAATTGCTTTTGAACGCATGCTTTTTACTTTCCAATTTGCGATCACATGTACTTTTTATAGGGATTGGCGGTACTGACATCACATTTTACAAAATATTTGTCATTGACGCTTACTAAGTTGCACACCAAGTCCTCCACCTTTGTCCTGTCGGTCATCTCTCCTTACTGTCTTCACATGATAAGTGAAATCCGATGTACTGTAACCGACCGCTGCAACTCTAGCAATGTCCCTTTAGGGACTCCGTAGAATGCACTACTCATTTTCAGATTTAGGCTTCGGGGACATCTCTTATATATCCAATGATGGTACAGCAATAGTAGTGTTTATTCAAATCACACAAATGAGATTGAACAGTGAATAATGACAAATTTTGGCCTGTTCCTCAATTAAGATTCATTGTATGAAAAAGAGCGAGCGACTTGCCTAACATTGTTTTTATATTAAAGAACATTATATGGATTTGGAGCAACATTATGTGAGTAAATGATGATAGGATTTTCATTTTTAGCTGACCTTTTGATTCTTATTGCTACATCTTGCTCAAGTTTTCTTTTGTTGTACATTGCATTCACATTGTGTTTATGGTCCTAAACCTTTAACACTAGCTCGCTTGGATTTCTTTTGTCCCCTTTGGTTGTATTCTCCCATTCTGTCACTGTTAAGTTTAAAAGGCTCTCTTATATTCTGTAAGCGTGGTCTGCGGCAGGGAGGCAGTGTTAGTAACCAAAACGCCTTGTCAAGACTTGACAGATTCTGCAGTTCCACTGGGCATGTAACCGCGTGGGCTGCGGAGGAGACTGATGAATCTTAAGCAAACAGAAGGCCAGAACAAAGAAAGCTGGAACAGACTTTAGATCAGATTTGGCCCTGTAATCAAAATTTTTTACGGCTCCTGTAAGGGTTTTATTGGACCTTGTCCAGGCACTGCCTGCAACTATATTTCTTCATGTGTCTGTCCTCCTCCCCCGTCTCTCTTTTTCTCCTTCCAGACTTCTGGAATAATACATTTCCTGGATGTCTGTTGTTTGGAGTTTCATTGGTTTTAGAAGAGAAAAGGTTACAATAAAGATCTATATGCAGCTTTCCCCTGTGCAACATGATCTGCTCAGATGAAGAGTGATTATCTGATAGGCAGCTCTTCTTTATAAGTTTTGGGTTCATGTTGCAAGTGCAAGATATCAAGGTGGATTGATTTTTGGTTTATTTAACCGTTTCTCATTTCCAGTTGTATGTTTTCTGACTGCTTCCTCTGCCCCATTCTTTGCCATGAGGTTTCAAATAGGGCATAATTCTGTTAGGGCACGGATCAATGTGCTGTCACAGTCGACACTATAGAGGAGGACAGAGTGCTTGAGTGTAGTTAGTTTACTTAATACTTAGTTTTATTTTCAGTTTGAAAGTTCCCAAAATTATCCGACGACATGTATAGACTATGATAAATGTACATTACCCTTAAAAGTTTGGAGTCAGTAATAATATTATAAAATGTTCTTTTAATTGTATTTATATTAATACTTTAGGCAAGAATGCATTAAAGTCAGGCTCCAAGCCTTTTACTCACCAGTTGCCCTCTAACTTTAATGAATTTTTAACGATCGTCAAATCACACCAGTTATGATGTAATTCTATGAATATATGAAGAGTTTGGTTCCAAAACGCGATAAACGCCATTTAAAACAAAAAACAAATAGTTACTGCAAAAATCAGTATTGTCTGTCTGGTTGGTATTGAAAAGTCAATGTTTAATTTTAAGTAAAATGCGATATCCGCCGTGTTATTCTGTCATGTTTTCTCCCTTTCTTTCCAAACCGCGACAAACGCCAGTCTCCCTTCTCTGCAGAATGCGATATATCAGCTGTCAACCAATCACAACGCACCATTCCACGCAATGTAAACAGTAACGGTAGAGCCTTAAATACACCCGGCTTCCTAGTTTTTCTTATCTATTTTGTACTTTTCAATCAACAAACAAACAAAAAAATGAATAATTTTGACGGCATTGATGAACCTGTGGTTGTTTCTGCGGTGGGTGAGAAACGTAAGGCATCGAATCATTTATGTGAGGAGATTAAGAAGATGAGGCACTCGGGAGGAGGAAAAATGTTTTCAATCTTCTTTACAGTTCTTAATAAAAATATTATACTAATAAACTTACGTTGTTGTGTATTTTCAACAGTTTTAATATGAAAAAAAACTTTTATATTGATTCAATGGATTAATTGCATTTTGAAAAAAAAAAAATGGATTTATTGCATTTTGGGGGGGGGGAAATAATCCGTTTTTATAATAAATCTTTGAAAATCAAAAGCTGTATTTTATTTTTTGTTGTTATTATGACCTACATGTGAAAGTTTGAAACAGAAAATAGTGGTTTTCATCTTTCCACTTTCTTGGTAAAGACAACACATTTTTACTCAAATTAATCTAAACCGATTTATTGCGTTTTGGAACCAAACTCTTCATATAGTCTCACGCGCTGCATGTTTCAGAGTAAAGCCAAATCACAGCACTCTTGTTCATTTTCATTCACAGTTTCGATTCGCGTTAAATCCGATTCTGCAAGTGCTGTGTGTTTGAGTCGCTTGTAATTTGCATTTAGGAACGAATTTGCCAATCATCTTCCAAACCATCTTCCTTATTTTTTTTGTCTTTAGCAATGATATTGTATTGTAATTTATCTGCTATCTTTTGTTTATGTCCTTTTAAGCTGATGCTTTTACACTGAAACTGTAGTGTGTGTGGACCGAATCAGTGCTTTAATTCTCAATAGCACATTATCCGAAAAATGTGTTTGTTTTGTCTGTCTAGCCTGGATTAATGTTCTCCTGCTTTCAATATTGTATTTTACACTGTTGTGTTATTGTTTAATCAGCAGCTGTAGTTTAGTTTTTAAGAGCATTGCATTAAATGTGAATGGTGACCTTGAGTACTGACTCACATTGTCTTCCCATCAGCGCACTAACCGGATACCAAAGGATATTCACGTTGAGCCGGAGAAGTTTGCGGCGGAGCTGATCAGCAGGCTGGAGGGGGTGCTGAGGGAACGCGAGGCACAAGAAAAACTGGAGGAGCGGCTCAAGAGGGTTCGACTGGTGAGTAGAGCATCCAAACATGCCAGGGAAGCGTCACGTCTCCACTGCATTTCGAGCTTTAGCAGATAGATCAAACACTGAGGCCTGTGCCTCCTCTCATCACGAGTGAACCAGTCGGATGTGTTCTAAAGACTTCCCGTCTTATCAAGGGGACTCTGCTCATTTCTTTCGTCTTTTTTTCCCCTCAGTGTCAGGTGATTCACCTGCCGAGATTGAGCTACTTGCTAGTCTGCCTCAGTGTAATGACTTTGTTTGAAGTCAGTCGGGGCGTGAAGAAATGCTTGCGCGCACCGCAAATGGGAATCTTTTTCCCGACTCAAAGCCAGGTGTTACGTCTCAAGGCAGATTATTTATGTAGTTTGGCCTCCTGTAAGAGGAACTTCCGTCACAGAACAGTGACTTTGAGTTAAGAGCCGAAGGAGGAATGTCATTTGTCTCTTAATTGATATTCTCACCGGTGCCTCAGCTTTCAGCAAACTTGTTTCAAGTTTTCTTTACCTATCAGCTGAGCGACTGTCTTCTATATACTGTGCTTGCGCTCTTTGGTCCACTGAGCAGGAAGGACTCTGACAGTTAAACATGTTTTTGCCAGCTACTGAGCCTTGACAAGTCTGCATAGCACCGGGTTTTCAGGTCATTTTCAGATGGTTCAGTTTTTAGAGGTTGAATCTGCGCAATGGAAATTGGATGGTTTGCGCGTTGCTGTTGGATTTGTGCTTTTTCCCACGTCGTCTCTCTTTTTTTTTTTTTTTTTTTGGCATGATCTGTCAAAGATCATCCAGAGCTCTGACCTGTACAGCTGTTCAGTAAAAATAAAATGATGCTCAGGCCAAATCCTCAGAATTCCTTCTCTCCTTGGACTTCGCTACCTGGAGAGAGAATTGCTGAGGCTTTGGTTTTATTGACTTTCTCCATTATGAAAATGAGAAGACAACCAAATGAAAAGGCACGTTCGAAGAAGGAAATTTGTTGGAAATAAAATGTACTTGTGTTGTTAATACATATGCTACCATTCAAAACTCACCATTTTTGCTCACCAAGGCTGCAATTATTTAAACAAAAATACAGTAAAAACTGTAATATTGTGAGGAATTCTGTAATAACTTTTCTATTTAGAAATATTTCTTATCAACATAAATGTTGAAATCATTTATGCAGCTTAATGTTTTTTGTGGAAAGGTTAATACAGTTCTATTTTTTCAGGATCCTTAGATGAATAGAAATGTCAAAGGAACAGCATTTATATGAAAAATTAATCTTTTGTAACAATTATAACTGTCTTAACTGTCTATTTTGTTCAATTTAATGCATCCTTTATAAATAGAATTTAAACTCGTATATAGTGGCCTGACAATTCAACAGTCAAGTGAAAGGTGTATGACTAGTCAATTTGTGAAATATTGTAATGTGGACTAATTTTATATGAATAGATTATAATTTATCAGTTTTAATTATTAACTAGCAGAAAAGATACTCCGTGAAGAAAACTATGCATAGTTAAACCCACATTAACAAAGTGCAATGATGGTAACACTGCAATACAACTAACAAAATGTGATAACTTTAAATTATTATTAAATTAGTATTGCTTAAAACAGTTACACATAAAATGATTCATTTTATGGGGAAAACAGTCAGAAACAACCTTAAGCTACAAAATGTTGGATACTACGCAGATTAAAGATATTCTATTCAGTAATTAGCCTGTAACACTGTACAGTTTGTATGGTGGAAACACGATTAGTTTAATTAGATTTAGGACTGTTTTCATAGACAAAACTACACATTTTCATTGTCTAAAAGTAACAATACAGAATGTGACTAAAATATCTCATTTAGTCACCAGACTATGATTGAAACTAAATTCAGTGTTGAACTCCAGTGTTTGCCAGTAAAATCAAAATCTGAGAATGGTTGAACAAATAAGCAAGTCAAATATTAAGTGTTATTAAATTAAGAAAACTGACATGTCAGATAATTTATAATTTGATTAAGAGAGGTCTGTGCTTGTCCAGAAATATTATCATGATTAAAATGAATATTAAAGTCATGTTTTGAGCAATAAGATCATTCTCTCATGTCTCCGTTTCACATCATTGTGTGTTTTTGAATGTGACCATGACAAATGGCAATTAATATAAGCTTGAAAGGGCGACATCTGCTGGTTCAAACAAGTTACTGCACAGTGATTCTACAGCCTTTTTTTTCTGCAATCGACTTGCTCACCTGGCTGATATTTATTGTCTTTTATATAAATACACATATATATATATATATATATATATATATATATACACATAAATACATTATACTAAACGCCTACAATTTTGAAAAAGTATCTTGTCATCATTGAATAATCTCTGTGTCCTATAGGAAGAAGAAGGTGACGATGCAGACGTCTCCACCGCTCCCTCCCTGGCCAATCACAGGGTTCCTCCTGCGGTCCACATGCAGCATTATGGCGGTCGCTACTCTGAAACGAGCTACAACGGGCTGCAGCTACGGGATGCACACGAGGAAAACCCCGAGAGCATCCTGGATGAACATGTGCAGCGTGTCATGAAAACCCCCGGCTGTCAATCTCCAGGCACGGGCCGCCACTCTCCAAAGTCCCGCTCCCCAGACGGGCTGCCGGCGGGCAAGATTCCCGGGCTTATAATGCCACTGTCTGGTGGCCAAGGCAAGCACCAGGCTCGGCTGGGCCCGAAGGGTGAGGCGGCGCACCTGCACCATCACAAACACGTTTACCACACACACTATGCCGCGGGGGGAAAGCCCAAAGAACAGGTGGAGGCGGAAGCCACGAAGATGCACGGGAGCTTAGCCTGGAACACGGAGCAACACCACTATGGATCCAAGTCACGCAACTATGCAGATGGAATGAGCGTCGGTCCCAACGGCATGGACCCCATGGGTTACGGGTATGTGTCTCAGTGGCTTTTGTTAGATATATATATATATACACTGCCATGCAAAAGTTTGGTGTTGCTTAAGACTTTTTTAATGTTTCTACACTCACTTCTGCTAACCTGCTATCATTTACTTGATAATAAATACACCCCAGAACAGTAAAATTGTAAGGCAACTTTACAATAAGGTTCATTAGTTAATGTATTAACTAACATGAACTAACACTTTACAATAAGGTTCATTAGTTACCAACCTTAGTTAACATGAATTAAGAATGCACAATACTACTTTTTCTTAGTTACTTAATTACGTTAATGTAATTAATTAACTAAGAAAAAGTAGTATTGTTCATTCTTAATTCATGTTAACTAAGGTTGGTAACTAATGAACCTTATTGTAAAGTGTTACCAATTTTAAAATATTATTACAATTTAAAATAACTGTTTTCTATGTGAATATATTTTAAAATGTGATTTATTCATGTGATCAAAGCTGAATTTTCAGCATCATTACTCCAGTCTTCAGTGTCACATGATCCTTCAGAAATCATTCTAATATGCTGATTTACTGCTTAATTAAAATACTGCCCCCCCACCCCCCAAAACTGTTAAACCATGGTGTATATTGGAAAAATGAAGTGAAGCCGTTTATCTTCAGTGATTTTGATGTTCTTGGGTCTCACTGTAGCAGTAAAGGCAGCACTCTGTCAAAGCGGCCGGTCAGAAAAGGGGAAGATGGTCGAAACTATGAGATGCGAGAGCCCTTGCCCCTGGATGATATGGAGAGGAACCAGAAGATACTGCAGTGGATGATGGAGGGTGAGAAGGAAGCTGGACGCTATAAGAGGAGCCCTTACGGGTGAGAAGCCTTTCTTAGTGTATAATCTAAAGACATTATTCAATAATGATGTCTGACCAGCTATTCAAGTAGTTGTTAGAAATTATGCAAAATTCAAAATGAATCATGTAAAAGCTCTCTTGGTCTTGCATATTCCTTAGCAGCATCTCCGGCTCCAAGAAAGCTCCGAGTCACGAGGTGTCGAGGCCCAGTTCGGTGGAGCGGCCGGGGGCTGTGCACCCTTGGGTGACCGCTCAGCTCCGCAACAGCGTGCAGCCCTCCCATCCCTTCATCCAGGACCCAACCATGCCCCCCAACCCAGCCCCCAACCCCCTCACACAGCTGGAAGAGGCACGCAGGCGGCTTGAGGAAGAGAGGAGGAAGTCTGGAACGCTGCAGGCCAAGCAGAGGTGAGAGGAAACTCAGTGGACTGATTTGTTATTGCTTGAAAATAATCACGTTATTTGCATTTGGGTCAATGACGCTCAGTTTTTTGACCTGGATCATTTATTCAAAATCAAAAGCACTTATTAAAACTTTGAGATTTCTAAACTTAAATACATTTTTGGGGGGAGCATAACATCAAAGATGTCAGGTTGAAACTTTCCTAATATCATAATGTAGGGGAAAAAACATCTTTAAATAATTAATTTCTTAAAAAGAAAGTCTTAAGTAGTTTGGTATAATTTGTGTTATTATTATTAGTAGAAATGATGGTTGTATCATTAATAATAATATTTAGAATTTATTCAGTTTTAAATCTTAGTGTTTTGGATGTTAAAATTTTATAAATATTTGGGTAACGCTTCCTTTTACAGTACAGTACTTACGTGTACTTACAGTGTACTTACCTAGAAAGTACTGGCTAATATAAGGTAAGTACATGGGTTAGGGGTAGGTTCAGAGTTAGTACCTAGTTATTACCCAGTAATTATAATTACTATAATAAGTGCATAGTAAGTACATGGGTAACAGGACTGTAAAAGGAAGCGTTACCAATATTTGTAGTAAGACCAATGTTCTGTAACAAGCAGGGAAAAACAATACAGGAAATGATGTCATCGAAAGGACCCCTTTAGTCCCTCATGACTGTTTCAAGGCCAATAAGTTGAATAATTTGACCTTTATGACAAGGCCAGGTTTGCCCATTCCGGTCACATGGTGTGACTCCTTAAATACTTTCTACCTTTCTAACGTATTATTGAAAATGATTAGGCAAGACTTGCATGTATTTGAGGTGTTAGGAAAATGTTAGTTTATACTTGCTGGTTCCACCACTTTAATTTTAAGATCATTAAATTAACTCTTTTGTTGCAAATGGTATTAAAGTTTTTAAAACCCACATTTTGCATATACATTTTAAACGTAAAGTTGTTCTTTATATTGGACGTTTGTCAGTGACCCATCTATCACCCATAATGCACAATGCAAGGCTGCCTCCTCTTCCCCGCCCTGTTCCGGCACACGCTGCGGCTGGCTGAGGTGCATGCGTGTAATGAGGCGGTGTGAGCCTGCAAACGCAGCCGGTGTGTCTAACTCGGGGTTGTTCCTCAGGTATGTGATGGAGGTGATCCAGAGGGGTCGCACCGTTGTCAGGCCCGCTCTGTTTCCCACGCTCAGTGTGGTGCCCGCCGTCTCCGACACGGAGCTCTCCGAGTCAGAGTATGTTCCCAATACTTCTTCATAGAGCGTAGCCCTTCCTTTCACCATCCCATGCTCCCATGATACATGCACTTGCATGTTTTTGTCAGGGCTGTGCCTTCATGTAGTTCACTAACGCTTCTGTGTGTAGCGCTTTTAAGAGTATAATATAGACTGACCAGTCTTAGCGCGTAGTTCCTCACAGATTTGGTTGGTTCCAGTGTATTAACCACTGATCGGCTGGAGGAGAGCTAATGCAGATATGCAGTTTAGTGACATCAATGTTGGTGTGGATGAGATGAAAGCGCCACAACAGTGCAAATGTTTTTTTGTTTTTGTTTTCTGAGGAACATTTGTCACATTTATCTGGAATTCATTTTACTTGGCAACAGTAAACCGAGTCTCTGCTGACCACCAGCACTCGTGTCCACTTCAACCCCAGTAGAGCACGTACAAGGGCTTTCAGGACATTCTCATTTTGTTGCTAGAAAAGCAAAACGCACCATTTTATCCCATCTTATTATGGAATAAATGCTTTGGTTTGTTTTTCAAGTGCCTTTCGATTGATTTGCAGGCATAAGAATACGAAGAAGCAGCCCTGTGAGAACATCACCGTGGCCTATTACTTCTGCGGAGAGCCCATCCCGTACAGGACGTCCGTCAAAGGGAGGATCGTCACTCTGGGACAGTTCAAGGAGCTGCTTACCAAGAAAGGGAGCTACAGGTAAACCACCTACACTTTTTGTTCTTAGCGCCAGTAGGTTTTTGAGGATCGTCTGTAGTGTTTAGTTTAGAAGATCAAGGGATGGTTCACCCAAAAATGAAGATTCTGTCATTTACTCAGTCTCATGTTGTTCCAAACTAACTTTCTTCTGTGAAATACAAAAAGAGAAATTCTTAAAGGGGGGGGGGGTGAAACACTCAGTTTAAAGTCAATCTCATGTTAATCTTGAGTACCTATAGAGTAATATTGCATCCATCATAGCTCCAAAAAGTTTTATTATATTTATAAAAGAAAGATAGGCTGTACCGAGTCTTTCCGGAAAAAGCCGAGCGGGTGGAGGCGTGCCGTGTGGGCGGAGCTAAATAATCACGAACGCGCGAAGTTTTAGAACATTTGTGTGTCTACTCGTGGTTTATGAAGACATGATTTGGTTTTACAATAAACAGACACCTACTGTAGCCACCTAAACAAATGTATTTAAACAAACACACAACATACATCGCATGCTCCATAGATACATTTACTATTGGTTATCATGTTGTTTAGCCTACTTGCTGTGCTTAAGTTACACGCCGATAGACACACACAGATATTTGAAGCAGTTCTACTCACCGCCTGCGGTTCCAATGCAAGACCGTTAACCTTTAGTGTTGGGACTGCTCCATCCTTGAGAACTAAACGATTAGCAAATCCGGCTTCGAACTGGGCCTTGTTTATAAAAAAATCATCCTCGAAATGCATGGAACAAACAAGAACACTTGCACAACTGTGTTGATGTTCTGGAAAAACAAACTCCATCCACTGGTCCCTTAACGCTTGATTCTTTGGGAATCTGTGCAGTGTTGTCTTGCCTTGGCAACCGAAAACACACTTCTTTGGTGACATATTGCAGCGCAGCCGATGCACAGCGTTTGATGGGCATAGGTTACGGCTATCGCTCTACAGCTGCGCGCGCGCCCTTCCGAGAGAAGTGCCCTTAGGACCGTATAAGGACATTCCGGCGCATCTGACGTCATACGAGCCCATACTCGAAAAAAACTTTCCGAAACTTGTGACAACCAGGAAGGAGTATTTTGAGAACAGAAATACTCAATCAAACGTACAACTTAATTTTTTAAACTTTGTCCATGTTTAGCATGGGAAAACTCTTTAACAGTGTAAAAAACTCACTATGCATGAAATAGCATTTCACCCCCCCTTTAACACTGTGCTGGTCGCTCCTGGACTGAAGCTTTCAAGCTTTCAAAAAGGATGCAGTATCAGTATAAAAGTATCCTGGAATGGTTTCATACCACTTTCACATTAGTCTTTTTAAAGAAAGAAAAAAATGAATACGTTTATTCAGCAAGGATGCACTAAAAGTGACATTAAAGACATTTCTAATATTACAAAAGATTTCTTTCAAATAAATGCTGTTCTTTTGAACTTTCTATTCATCAAATCCTGAAAAAAATAAATAAAAGTATCACTGTTTCTACAACAATGGTAACCAGCACAAGTGTTTTAACATTGATGATGATGATGATAATATAATAAAAAGAGGAAATGTTTCCTGAGCATCAAATCATCATATTAGAATGATTTCTGAAGGATCATATGACTGAAGACTGGAGTAATGATGCTGAAAATTCAGCTTTGTTATCACAGAAATCGAAAACGGTTATGAGGATGCGCTTTTAACAGTATGGATTGTTTCAAAGCAGCTTTACAGTTATAATAGAAATTACCGTAACAGATTGTTTAGGATTTACAACAGCACCAGGATAAAGTTATTGTCCAGCTAAAGTTAGTTTTGATTGATTCACTTCCGTTGCGAAGATCACTAGTTATCAACGTTGGGGCCGCTTACACGACACCGTTCTAACAGAAAAACTCGCAACCCGCTAATTGTTTAATTTGTGATTAAATTGTGCGGACATCATTTTTGGACGGGCTGTCATACAAAGAAATTATGAACACACGCAAAAACAAGAAAGAACCAATGAATAACAGATTATGTTGCAGTCAGAGTATGCTTTTCCTGTGAGCTTTTTGTTTTACCATGTTTAGTTTTTTTGTATTGTAAAATAAAACCTGTAAGAGTAGTTTGCCTTTTTGCTGAATAATTTTGTCAGATAAATACCTTTAACCAAGTTTAGTGTTTTGTTGTTATCCTTACATTTTAAAAATATGAAAATGTTCCACATGAACTCGTAGGGTAATAAACAAATACCATTTAATTCTACAATGTTTTGATTTATACTTTGTCAATTAAACAGAATTATTTGACTGACGTAGATGAAATTAAACCATCACGATCCCTCTCCCTCACCACACCTCAGGTATTATTTCAAGAAAGTGAGCGACGAGTTCGACTGCGGAGTGGTGTTCGAGGAGGTACGCGAAGACGACGCCATCCTGCCCATCTTCGAGGAGAAGATCATCGGGAAAGTCGAGAAGATCGACTGAGACGGGAAGAGAGGGAATCGGTCTGCAGGGGAGCAAGCAGCAGCATGTGGAGAACGAGAGGGAGCTGCGAGCAGGTGCTGAGATTGGTACAGCGAACGTGGACGTGCGGGAGAGCGAGAGGTGCGGAAACGGGGAAGGTTGCTGTGGAAAGTACACTATTTACTCCGAGGCTTCTACCTCTGCACAAACGGCTTTTAAAGTCAAGTCGAACAGCTGCTCAGTGCTCAAGATCACTGCGTTGTGCACAGAGAGCCCTTGGACTCACAGAGACGAAAGCGCGAGGCCGCGTTCTCTCACTTTTGCTATATTTCTAACTCTGACAAATGTAATGTAGCAATGTAAAGTTAGCCTAGAAAAAAAGTACTATGAGAATATGTTTACTAAAGCTGCATATTTTTGATATGACGTATCAGAAGGAACATATCCTTTCTAATTTAACAACTCTTGTAATTTTATATGTACTGGTACCAGATATGTACAGACTGTCTGTTTAAAAGGAAAAAGAGAAAGTTTTATATCTATTTAAATATTTAAAAAAAGGAAGAAAAAAAAACGAGAAATCGGTTTAACCCATATCAAACCTGACCCCGAAACGGTGGTAGATTTCACGAAGCTGCGGTTACAGAGGCTGTTCGAGGAGAGGAAATCATAACCCACGCTTTACCAAGTGCTTTTAACTCATCAAACCGGTTTGTAATCAGTCCACATCAGAGAGGGAGGAGTCAGCCGGCGCTGCACTTTTCACGGCATTATGCATTGATGTCAAAGGAGAATCGCTTCGAGCGAAAGTCCTATACGACTATGCCTTCACATTGCTCCGTGTCTTTCGGTGATGTCATGACATGCATAATGCATAATCCCTCTTCTCTTCACGCACACCCCGATACGAGGGCAAAGGATGAATGTCCCGACATTACAAAACAAATATCTTGAGATTTTTGAGTGGAACAACTATAGCTCTGTAGTTTATATCCAAAATCTGTAAGGTTGCTTTTCCAGGTGCTCGCGTGTGTAAGACCCACAGCGGCACTGACGCCTGTTTATGAGCAGGAGAATGTGAGACTTGTGGAAGAGGACACGAAGTTCTGGTCGTCCTGGGGTCCATCGTCTACCGAGTGCCATTGGACAAATATAATGATCATGTTTACACTTACCTTAATGTATTACAGAACAAGAAACAAATAAAGAATTGTAGCCTTTTCAGTTTAACTCGGCTAAATGTGGTGCCTGGCGAGAATGGTTTTTAAAAAAAATTAGTTTTGGCCTAACGTGGTCTGCCTTTGTTGAGATCATGAAACACCAAAGAGAACAATCTATCACAGGAGCCGTTTGCGTTGTTTCAGCAACAAAAATGAAGCTCCTCCATAGAGTTTTCAGGCTGCGTGTTGTAACGAAACACGGAGAAGTGTAGTAACCGCTAGGGAAGTGGTGCTGTAACGTTAGAATGTTTGATTTGTTGTTCTGGCATCCCATCTTAATGCTAGTTTTTAAATTCCCGGTGTAGTTTGATTTTTTTTAAGTTGCCATTGTCGTCAATGTTTTTTTAAGTGATGTGTTTTTTTGACCTTCATTCAATTGGAATTATTTTGGTCCTCCAACTTGAACAATATGGGTACTTGATGCAAAATATGGAACATTTCTCATGTTTGTTTTGACTCATTTTAATTACGGTGTAATTATCAACTTGGATGTAAAGAGTTAACTACTGTGAATAGCCTGGATGTGAGCTCTTCTCACTGAATGATGGATGACCTGTACATAGACATCACAGAGTGCCTTTCTCACCATTCTCATCTCTGATCCACTGTCTGCTCTCCTCACTCCATGTGTCCAGTACCAGGGACTTGCATTGTGTTTTTAAGTTTCTTAAGAATTTTTGTTTTTGTTAGATTCCTATGCGAAGAGCATCAACACACTTAAAGTCTTTCTATGTAAATATGTAAAAACAATTTTTTTTTTTTTTTTAAATGCGTCTTCAACTACAACCAGCAACCCAATTTGGATATTTAGTGCCCTGGTTCTGCTTAAGTGTGCCGAGTTGTACAGTTATCATTTTATGGTACTTTGGACAATAAAGACATGTAATAAAAGAAATGTGTAGTTCTCTTGTTACTTTTTCTATGAATTTATATAGAAATTATATATTTGGGTTTGTAGTTATTTGGGTTGTTTTCTCAATGCTTATTTTGACTTTCTTCAATAATTTGAAGTTTATTAAGACTTCCTAATTTTTTTTTAACAAAGACTAAACAGACGATGGCGCTCTTGTTTCCTAGCAACAGTTTCATGAGCTTTTGCCAAGATCTCATGCAGCAGCCGATGGCTAAGGTGCCACATAAAGAATGAATTATGACCGCTTATATAAAAGAAGCTATTAAAAACATCTTAAATCTGTAACACAGCATTATTTTTTTGATAAAAATTAACATCAATTATTGTAGTCAATTAACACCGACCAATACCGGTACGCTAATGATTTATAATTTGAGCAGTCGGGACGGATTTTGCGGGAAATGTCAGATTAGAAAAGAAAAAAGCCATGTGATGTGTGTCAGTTCTGACAGCTTGTAGCCACAACTAATGAGAAACATTTATAACGCTAGTCGTTCAAAAAGGCAAACATATCATCCGTTAGTAAAAACAAAGAACCCCCGTTCGAAGAGCTTACAAGCTAAATAACAAATTGATAGCCATTATATAACTCGTATCAAGATCGGACTGCTTTTCAGAGATGGTGACAACTCCGAGATATGAAAGGATTCAAAGCCAACCCAGAGATGGCGTTATTCCGTCAGATAAAATAAAGAGCGGAGCCGAAACCCGACGTATAGGCTAATTACCAAAACAATATTCCTCCGCGAGTGACTTGCAGTTTTACTCCTCGAAAGTGATTTACAGGGTGGAGGACTATGAGAGGTGGCAACACCAAAGCAAGCATCCATGCGTATAGTTGTGACTTCATGAACTTTATTGTTAATGTATATCTAAAACAGTTGCATTAGCCTACCACATAGTAGCCTAGCCTAATCATCTGTTTAAAAATAATTAAAATAACAAAACTTCAATATCCAAGACTGCTTGTTAATCACACCAACAAATTTGTCATTGAGCTTAAAGTCCCCATGAATTCAAAATTGACCATATACTTTGTTTGCCTAAATTGGTCGTTTTGTGGTGAACAATTCATCCATGCAAGTCAATCCGCACACGATTTTTTTTTTGGCTTCATAATCTTTAATCAAAATCTGAAATTTCCCCTCCCCTCTGCATTGGAGGACCTTCCCTGATGACGTAGGTTTCACGGTTTGGGCGTCTGCTTAACATCCGTAACCACGCCCCTCCAACTGACAGTAGACAGGCTGAATGAAAACACCTACTTTTCTAGATCCAATCAGGTGCTAGTTGGAAAAAAGCCACGCCCACTATTTTGCCTAATTTAGTATTCCGTTTCTCCCGGAAATACGTCACAACACTGGAGAAAAGTCGTTTGCAACTTCCGGTTCACGGGGACTTTAAGGGTGCTTCTCAATATCCCTCCTCGTCTCCTCGCTCCTCCGTCCTCCATCCTATGACCCGGAAACCAATCGAGCTCAGCCATCTTGAAGGACATCTCAATTCTCTAATAGGCTTTATGCCCAGCTGCACTACTTCCTGAACTTCAGCCAGCTCCTTGTTTCCTGTCTGACATTATTGGACAAACTGATTAACCCAGGTGTGTCTGGTATTTGTTACTGGTCAGGCACACCTGGATTAATCAGTTTGTCCAATAATGTCAGACAGGAAACAAGGAGCTGGCTGAAGTTCAGGAAGTAGTGCAGCTGGGCATAAATCCTAATAGGAGGCGAGGATTGAGGAGTGAGGAGGCTTCCAGAGGAGCTATGAGCGAGGATACACAGGTGTACCCTTTGCGGAAGAGTTTTATCGACTAAACATGACGCACGTATCAATTCTCCTCCCCCTTCACATCTGTCACAATCATTTGAATTTATACTTTACTCTTGTAGTTTACATAAACCACACAACTCACATATTTCAACAAGGTATCTTGCTTTATTATTATTTATTATTAATTTCTTAAATAAACAAACTTTAACAACATAAGGGCAGATCCTTTGAGCACTGCTGATGACGCAGTGAAGTGACGTTCGAGTGATCAAGTATTCCAATGTATAAAAAAGCTTTCATTCAATTCCTCCGTCCTCATTTTTTTTTCTTGCAGCCTTCCCTCGCGTCCTACAGGGGGTGGGGCTGAGACGCGAGGAAAGGAAACGAAATAAGAAATGAGAAGCACCCTAAGAGTAGGCATATCATTACTAGGAAGACATGTAGCCTAGTTTTATTAATATTATGTAGGCTACTTGGATGATATAGCTAAATCTCAAGTTTCAGTGGAAGTTTAAACTTCTGAATATGCTAATGTTGGAAAGAAATGGCAAAATATCAAAGTGCATATGAATGAAGTGTGCCATTTGGGACAGGGCCCAAGACCCTGCTTGTAAGGTAGTAGTTTTTTGGACACTGAACATGCTGATTGGTTGAGTTCAAGCAGCATTTTGATTGTTGACTCTATGCAGATTTTTATTTCAACCATGTTGAAATAAATGGATATCTATGCCAGCACGTCCCAGCCGGGTTCGTCACTTATTTGGTTCCCCTGGAAACATTTCCGTTGTGGTCTGTGTTATTTGCAAGGGGGTAATCCATCGACCGGAAGTTGAAGTCGGCCGGGTGCCGCCATGTTGTAGCAGAACTTCACTTGCGTTAGCATTTCCATTGACTCCCATTCATTTTGGCGTCACTTTGACAGCGAATAACTTTACATCTGAGGCGTTTAAAGACTCCATTTGTCCATTATTTATTTCTAAAGAAACACGACAATGTATAAAAGGCTCCATTACCTTCTATGTTACGTTATGGCCCCGTAGAAACAGATTTAGTAAAAATAGGCTAACGATTGCGTCATAACCCATCGACTCTCTGTCGCGCTGTACAGAAATTACCGTATAGACAGAAGTAGAAACTCGCGCGCAATCGGGGGGACGTCGAGGCATAAAGTCAAGGGAGAAGCCCATAGAGAGTTGTAAAGCTGCTCCTGCTGCGAGCTCATGGACAGCTAATACTCACGATCTCCGGCTCTGCAAGTTTCGGAAGGGAGTGATTCAGATTCCCATTGGCACAGCTACTAGAAGATTAACGTCTGTCAGACAGGTTGCTCACGTCATCAAGCTTAGTTTGAGTCGGTTTGAGTCTGCGCGTCAGGAACGGAAGTGCTCAAAAATCGCTAAAAATGGGCTTCAACTGTCTCAACTGAGTTCCAATGAGATGGCTCTGTCCACTTCTTATACTGTCTATGGTTATTTGCAGCGCGTTTATGTATTTGTGTTGTGAGCTTTTGCAGCGCGTTTGTATTTGGTGGTGTTGTGAGTATTTGGAGCACACGTGTGTTGTGAAACTGATGAAGATGTTTTGTTAATTTGCGGGTGTTTTTTTTTATTTGCACGCGTTTTTTTCTTTTTGCATGCGTTTTATTTTATTTGCATGTGTTTTTTTCAATTTGCATGTGTTTTTTTCTATTTGCATGTGTTTTCGTCAGTTGCAGCGTGTTGAGCTCTCTCAGCCACCGTACTATAGCTACATTCTACCTTACAAACAAATGGTGCAACGGAATAAAGTACAGAGTTAGTTACAAACTAGCTAGTAGTTATAAGCCTCTGCGGACTTTACATTACAATTTAAGAAAGAACTTACGAACGGCTGGTGCAACCCAGCCAGAACACTACATTTTAATTATGATGCATGTAAAAATGTATTAGTTAACCAACCACTCAGCCTCATCAAGGCTCTGAAGCATGGCTAAAGCCTCTGAGGCAGTCATAGTTCACCCAAAAATGAAAATTTTGTCATTAATTACTCCGCTTCATGACGTTCCAAACCCGTAAAGACCTTCGACATCCCAGGATGTCCTTCTGAAAAAAGAGTAGGGGTTTAACCCCGGCATCCTGGCCAAATTTGCCCATTGGCCCCTGTCCATCATGGCCTCCTAATCATCCCATACTGATTGGCTTCATCACTCTGTCTCCTCTCCACCAGTAAGCTGGTGTGTGGTGGGCGTTCTGGCGCAATATGGCTGCCGTCGCATCATCCAGGCTCCATTGACAACTATTTAATTAAAAATTTGAAGGCCCAGAAAGGTAGGAAAGACATCGTTA